TGAGGATAAACTGAAATACCAAGAGGCGCTAGCACAGAGATTCACTTCTAACCCTAAGCTGTTGTACAAACACGTCAACTCCATTCGGAAAGTAANACTACACACTGTTGAATAACTTGGCGCTCTCTACTCAGTGGGTTTCCTATGACGAAGAATCCAATCCGTTGGTCGCCTGGAAGAAATTTACTGAAAATCTCACAAATATAATTACATCCGTGACTAAGACTAGAGTAATCACCAAATGCGGCATCCGAAATTCACCTATTCTAAGTCGCACAAAGAAATGGCTATCGACGAGGGACTTAACCTGGCGAAATTATAATCGTCTTCCGAATGCTGTCACGTGGAATAATTATCGTATGCTGAGGAACCACTGCACCAGGCTAATTCGTGAGGATAAACTGAAATACCAAGAGGCGCTAGCACAGAGATTCACTTCTAACCCTAAGCTGTTGTACAAACACGTCAACTCCATTCGGAAAGTAAAGTTTGGTATACCGGTACTAAGTAGCGCTGGAAGAGTTGCAGCCACTCCAACGGAAGCAGCTGAAATGCTGAAAACTCCTTATTCCAACGTTTTCGCAGCACCGCAGGTTGAACGTTTACAACTACCCCTCCTCCACCGATGACATCATCTTCCACATCCTTCACTAACATACGTTTCATTTACTGCTGAAAACGTCAAAGCAAAAATAATGGCTTTGCGAAAAAATGCAACCCGAGGTGCGGACAACATACACCCGAAATCTCTGATCTTTTTGGCAAATCACATATCCGAAACGCTAGCCATTCTGTTTCAACGAATGTTGGACCAAGCAACACTGCCCAAATCGTGGAAACAAGGAGTCATTTCGTCCATATACAAAGGTGGTTGTCGTAGTGACCCCACTAACTACCGACCTGTGACCATGTTTCCGGTGTTATCGAAAGTCATGGAGTCAATTGTGGCAGATGCTCTGATGGAACACCTCGAAAGATAAAACATTCTTTCGACAGCTCAACACGGGTTTAGGCAAAAGCGATCCTGCTCCACCAACTTGCTTCTTGTTCGAGATGAATGGACCAGTACAGTTGACGAAGGGGATGCGGTGGATGCGATTTATTTATTTAGTCGCTGTCACCGGCGTGCTTTGGACCCTGTGGTCCGAGATTCGAGCCCCACCACCCGACTTTGGTGGTAGGCAGCTCTGCTGTCGTCCGGTTCAATACCACGTCTAACCTATGTTCGCCACTCCAAGTTCCGGGGCTTAGATTGCCGATTTCAACCACTGAACAGCAGGTCCTCGTGACTATGGGTTTACCCCGTCTGCTGTTTATCACACCTAGGTGTGCAATAAAAAAAATCTCGACTTCTAGAAAGCATTTGATCGGGTGAATCACAAAATCATGCTGCAGAAGCTCTACAATTATGGTGTTCGAGATTTTGCGTTTGATTGGACTAAAGCATTCCTCGAACAACCATATCAGTTCGTGTTTCTGATTCCACATCCGGATCTATCAAAGCCAACCGCGGTGTTCCACAAGGGTCCGTACTCGGTTCCCGTCTGTTCCTCGCCTTCATAAATAATCTACCGAAAGTGTTAGGCCCAAAGACAATACTGTTTGCAGACGACGCCAAAATTTGGAACATGGTAAAAGAAACCGAGGGCTCTCTAACATTTCAGGAGTCACTCAATGCAGCTTATCAATGGTCTAAGGAGAACGACATTGAATTTAATGTTTCTAAATGCAAAGTCATCCCCTACGCCATAACCGAAAATTCTTGTATTTCCTGGGGGATCAGCAGCTACCACACACTTCTAGTGAAAAGGACTTAGGTATTGTTGTCCAAGAGGATTTCAGCTGCTCCATCAATTGTGCTAAGGCTTCGTCCGCTGCTATGAAGAATGTCGGCTTACTTCGGCGAGTCTTTGGTCGGTTTGAATCATCACTATTCCCATGTTTGCTATCGGCGTACATTCGACTCTACACAGAGTACGCCATCCAAGCTTGGAGTCCATGGCTTCAACGTGATCGCAAGATGCTTGAGCGTCCACAAAGGATGGCCACCAAGATAGTCAAGGGGTTGCATTACCTGACATATAAGGAGAGATTACGATCATTGGGACTACATTCTGCTCAGTACCGCCGAACTCGGGGACACTTGATTTTGACGTATCAAATACTGCAGAACCCAAACCATCCGTGTCGATCGCTGCTTATGTTATCGAACAATGTACACCTAAGGGGACACTGTTTCAAGCTACTGATTCCAAATTGTAGGCTGGAATGCCGGCGCCAGTCTTTTGCAGTCAGAGTATGTAGTTCTTGGAACGCCCTTCCACCTCATGTCGTTTGTGCATCCACTATTGAACCTTTCAAGCAGAGACTCGATAAAACCTTGGCACACCTCACATTCGTACACCACTAAAAGCAAACGCAAATTCACTGTACCCTACATTCTTTATTATCTCCTACCCGGAACTCTATGTGACTCCTTTTTCAACGTGTAACGGTTCATCTGTGTAAATATCCTATGGGGACAAGAGAAGCACGAGCTTGTAAGTTATTCCCATAATAAAAATTTGTCTTTGAAATAAAAGATGTTAGTGGAGCGTAGAGTGGCCGTTCCACTTCAAAACCTAAAAAGGAGACGTTCGAGAACATCGCCCTCTTGATTGAAACACATCTAAACTCTGTGGGTCAAGTTCCACTGAACCGCATTTACCTTGGGAGTTTATATTTCTCATAAGTTTGAAGTATCTTCTCTTTAAGATCCTCAGGATTCTTCTATTTCCGTCTGTAAATTTGACACTTCACATTGCACCAGCGTTAGTTCATACAATCAGTCCACTTCATTCAGCCAATTAATCACTGAAACTGTGCCTTCTCGTGGTTCTTCATCCTGGCGGAAGAGAGCCCTGGACAACACAGGTAACGGCGGTGTTTCTAGACAATCACGTTCTACCCCCTTTAACAATCCTTATATATATATGTATATATATATATACCAGAAGTTGAGCATTTTTATCAATTTCACTGCTTGATATCCTTGTTCGCCGGTTTTCGGTTAACTTCTACTTTATTCCATTACTAATTCCGCTATTTACTTATACATTAATCTATCAATCAGTCAGTCAAAATTCGGTAACTTATTTTTCTATTTACCAATCCACTTTTACGTTTCCAGGCCGCGTTGCATTCTTATGAGTTGTCATTACGCGATAAACACTCGTCTGACCTGGGAGTATTGCATCAGCCATGGCCCATAGGTCATATCAAAGACGAGCAGCAGCATCAAGTGACGCCGAGGATCTCTATCCCATTGAAATCGTGCACATTGAACAGTTGCTTGAACTGGAACAATTGTCCAGTGAATTCGTTTCTTCGAGTTTGCAGACCACACATTGACCCTATGGCTAGTTCGGGTCTATGGGTCAAGGAATTTATGCGGTCCAATCATTTTATTTCTGATTGTTCCGACCGACGTCACCAAGTCTGTTTGCATGTCGCATTTACTGTGACTGAAGCACAAAACTGTATATTAAAAACCGGCCGGTCTAATCCAACTACATGTCTAGTGATTCTCACGGAACTAGCTCAGGCAGAGGATCTTCTTCATGGTCGAGAACAAGGACATGCATTTCTCCTGGCCGCTCCGTACTTTTTGTCTGGAAGTCATTTTCATTTCAGTCTGGATTTCTTTCTCCCAGTTCCATTTGATCGAATGGAACGAGGATTTGGCCTAAACCAGTCCAGTCCACCACCACACCTGATTCCGGGGTCTCGTTCCCACTTGCTCGGATTTTCCGCGGGACGATCCATACCGCACACGGTTGTTGCTTTATCCGATGGTTTCGAATCGGTCGTGTTGCACTCACTAAAAAAACTATCCGAATCCTCGGCACAACTTGGTTATCGTTTGTCCATGTACGAAACACAATCCGAACTATTGACCTGTTGGCCGTCAGACATGAGACAGGTGTTCTCCAACCATATGTTCGCCGAGAGAGATTGGTTCCCCTGCAGTGATGCTGTGCAGGTAAGTTCAGTATTGGAGCATTCGGAGCTATTATTTTCAACTATCCACATTGCGCGCTGTATATTGATGCGCTTTGATCAAATTAGTAGCTATTGCAACCCCTAGTACTTGCTCTCTGCACTCAAATTCACTGGTAAAAGGGTAGGTGGTGGTCAACTGAAACTGGGTCATATAATGCCTTATTCAGCCCACATTTTTATACTATTCGGTCCCATAAGATCAGGTCCATTGCAAAAGAGGTTTAGACATCATTTAGAACTTGTGCGTTAACCATAAAGGTATTTTGTAACACTCTCCTGTTGACGACTAGATTGGAGGTGGATTGGAGCCACGTCAGTTTACGTTCTGCTATCGCGTTTTGCGTTACGACTTAACTGGTTTATAATTTAACAGAGTTCCCCGCGGAAATACCTCGGAGTGTAGCTTGAAGCTCCACCTGTTGTCGATTCACGCGTCCAATTCCTGGAGCTGTCAGCTACGAGAACATCAACTAATGTGGATGCACAGTAGTAATAAAACAAACTAGAATTAAAAAGGGGGTAGTACGCTTCTTTTCTACCTGCGAGATCCCGGGTTCGATCCTCGATTGGGTCAATGGGTTCGCACTGCCAATGAGACCCACAGGCTGTGTGGTGTTTCTTGTTTCCTTTGCTTTGTCTGTGCGACGAAATGGCTCATATAATTAACAAAACAATTAGAAAACATTTTAATCATGTCGTGTATGGCTGTACAAGAGTACATTGCCAAAGGCGATTTTGAAGATGCAAACGTACCAAGGGGAGGAGGGGGTAAAACAGTGGTTTTCTGCATCATCAGAGCTGTCAAAACTAACTATAAATAGAGCGGAATGTCAATGCAGAAGATTAATTTAAGTGTTGACATTGGTCGCACAAGCTGGGTGCAAGCATACGGACAGCCTCGAGAACGAATCAAATTTTCAGAAATGGGCAACTGGGTCAACCTAATCACCGATTAGATGTGTGTGTATGTATGTATGTGTGGATATATGAGTCTACGAGCAGCAGGTTACTGGGTGCAAGATAATTATTTTCCTGGACAGTCGTTAGCCGCTGTGTCATCTGATACCCGTTAGTATCCATTGTCACTGTTGTGGTCGGTTGGTATTATTCAGTCGCCCGGCCCAGATGACGAAATTGACCTCACCTATGGCATACGACCGAATAGCGAGTAGGATAACGTCTTGAGTTCGCAATTCGTTGGAATCCTGCGTCTCATCGGTTGGGTTCTGCACCCATCAGACTGAACTCCCACGTCCAGGAGACCCAATGCACCAAGTGATTTTATTCATTTGGACGCATTGCGAGTCTAGCTTGTAATAAGTCGTGCTGAGTGACGGTTTCCTCAACTGGGGTTTCCGCATTAATTTCTCCGGATGTATATTCGTTTGAGGGACGATTACTTGCAAAGATGAGCTTTTGTCATTATCAACATTATGTTCGTCGTGTTCTTTCATCCCTGTCTAATTGACGCGGGCAAGGCACAGCAAGGGGAAGGGTTTATCGTCAATCTCGTCTGTCAGCGAGTTTGAACTGTTGCGCCTCGCACGACTTCACACGCATCATGGCAAACCTTTCGATTTTCCAGGCTGTTTGTGATCTGTATTATTGCACGTAATACTTAGATGAGCAACTAACGGTGTTTTTGTCATCACCCAGGAGCTGTTTGTTCGTAGTCTAACAGCTGAATTGGAGTATAAAGAAGAAAAAATATTTTTCACTTCCATTATTATTTATTGAGCATACAAATGCACAGCCAACTTCCATGAAGGGGGCCGCGGCCATACAAAAGCTGTCCAATAATTTGTTCTGATACAGCTGAGTATGAAGTAGATCCCTTTGCTACGGGAACGTGCTCCCCGGACACAATATGCTGATACTGTTGTGACTGGTTTGTGAAGGTGAGTCCTGGGGTTTACACCGGATAGCTAAGATCTCAAACCAAAGTGACCGTCATCATTTAACTTTGCATAAGGGGAGGGAAATGATTAGAAACAATGAGGAGTCATTGCGTTAGCGGTGAAATGCATATATTATTCTCGATATAAGCTTGATATAAAATACTATATGTGTATGTGTACTGGAGGAGGGTGGGGGTGGGGTGAGATGAATTATTCATTCTTCGTGTGTCCATCGATGTGAGTTGGATGTCAGAAGTGATACGTTTTTTAATTTTTTAATCGAGATTTGATGGGAATAGAAAAAGTAGAAAATGAGAGCTATTTAAGTAATCGAAGAAGCAGTAAGATTCATATGAGAGCACGTTATGCGCACCAAGATTTGATTTCGCTGTTCGACTGTGATACACTCTTAAATGTCTGGTGCAATCGTCGCACTCATGGGTCACATACTACTCACTTGATTGAACATACTACTCATGCCATAAAATAATCTACCAAGGTAAGTGAAGGTGATACTTTTGTAAAATCAACAAAATTGTTCATTTTAACATAGATAATTAGACTGTGTCAGAAGTGACTAGGGTATTTGAATGGTTTTATTTTGTTTGGAAAAATGTTTGCTGATTAGGTTTTTGTGACGAAAATGCATATTTTGGTTCTTGATTGGTTCAGTGTACCGTCCCGTTGCCGGGTGGTGGTGTCAGCGTCGGAGTTTCACTAGGGTGCTAGTTACCCGTATTTCATCTCCGGATGGACTCCCCGGGCCCTCGGCAGAGAGTGCCGCCCACCCATCGCTTGGGTGGGTTTCCCTTCGGTGTGTGTGCCGCATTCCTGGGGCTGGGAGACGTGTTCGAGTCCTGGTACGCACCCGATGGGCACTAGCCGCAGCCGTAAAGTTATATGCTGTGATATCGATGGGGGTTGCACAACCCGGCAAGTCTTTTGCTTCCACGGATCACTGGTTTGGCTTGACAGAGTCGGTTATCAGAGTGCGAGCCAATGCTAACCTGGTAATTAACGCTGTTGTTCGTTGGTTTAGTGCGTCCTTCATCTGGACAGATGGTTTAATAATGATATTGATTATGGAAATGTACAACAAATTTTCATGGAGAGAAAGCAGCGGCCTGAGGAGCATAAAACGTCGGAAGCTATTGACGACGGTCGTCA